TAAAATCAGGCTGACAACTAAGGATACGAGTTGCACAACATTGCTCATTTGTTGGGTCAAAAATATGCAATTTACATTATTCATATTTCTTTTGTAAATTTTTTATCCACAGGCTATGTTCCTCAAGAATATGTTGAATCCCTTTTGGTTTTTTTATACTATCCTCATCTACAAATGTCATTACATGAACAGAGCCATCAGGCATTTTTCTATCTCTAAGTAGAGGTTGCTTGCCTTCATCTTTTAAATTCATCTGTGAAACAACCAAGGCATTACCGGCATATGCGTTATGAGAGCAGCTGTTATCAAACATAAAGAGTGTAGTTTTACCAGGGTGCATTTGTTCGAAAATTGGGATGGCTCTTTCAACCACTTGTTTCATAAGATCCTCATGTGTCCACCAACTGTCTCTATTAGAACCCAGGTACATTACAACACACATCTCATTATATGGAATTCGCTCATTATTGGGGAGAAGGTCATTCATGACTTTGTCTTCTTCTAAAAGGCAAAGACACCCAATCGATTCACAAATAAATTCACTAATGTGAATACTTAAATCTGGCGACTTTCGTCGAATTTGGTGTTCGTCTGCAGGACCCCATGTCTTGGTAATACCATCATTGGCATAGAACACAGATTCATTGTGGTTAACTAGAACAATTTCAGAGGCATTAGGTAGAAGATTAGATAAAACAACCTGTTCTATACTATCTCCTTCATACGTCGCCATTCTGGGCCTTAAAATAGCCATTTGTTCCAAGAATTGATTTCTGTAAGCAACCACATCATCACGTTTGTGACCATCGAAATAAATGTCTTTTGAATAATCCTTATAATCCCACCCAAGTTGATGCAACTATACACGAGCAGTTGTTTCAGAAATTTTTTTTTGTTTTTCGATTCCAAAGGCAGGTATAGTAGCATTTTCAATAAAATTTATAAACTGGCTAACTGATATGGTAAACTTATTAGCACGCAAATATTGAACAATATAAGATTTAAAATCTTCGTGTTGTAAAAGAGAATCGAATTTTGGGTGTCAACCACGGTGTGATTCAGGAAGTTCTCCTCTTTTTAACCACTCACTAGCCCATGAACATATTAATCTTGCATGCCATGGACCTCTGTTAACGCTCTGAGAAAGAATCTTACTGGCAGTTATTTTAGAAAAACTCTGGTCTTCAACTAGATGAAGAAATTGACTTACTATACGCAGGCGTATATCATCTGAATTGTTTTTTAGCATAATATCTAATAACTCCAAGTTAAATTTACCATCTTTATCATCACTGAAGTTATAGAATAAAATATCATCACACTCATTCTCATTTTCAATATTGTGAATATTGTTCATAGAATTTTTTGTACTGCTATTTGAGAGGTCATAAAAAATCCAATCTGTAATCTTGTTAGAGCCCAATGCAGCTTTTCTTAAGGCCGCTCTTTTATTGCGAAGGGTTGATTGGGCAAAGCCTATATAAATCTGTTTCTGTTCTTTCATTTTCTATACTCCCAGTTGTTTTGCATTATTAATGAGTTCCTCCAATACACTTGGTTCAACACTTCCTAAATTATCACAAATTGGTTATCATCAGGCACCTCAGAAGGTTCATTTAACCTAACATTAAACCACCGCTTCCTAATAGCCGCTTGGCAATTTCTAGAACATTTGCTTCGTTTAGGCATCAAAAAACTCAAGGTTACTGTAACAGGTAAGTGTCTAATTTCTTGAGTTATTTTTGTGACTTTATGCTGACTTTGGCTATACATATGTGCTTCGTGGATTATACTGGCTTTGTGGGTTATACCAACCTCGTGGGTTATATTGACTTTATAGTTTATATCGGTATTGTAAGCTTCCTGGAATTATACTAGCTTCGATGAGTTACCGGCCTTGTGGCTTGGTGGATTACAGACTACAGACTTGGTTTTTATACTGACTTCGTTTGACTATATTAGTCTGTATACTATGCACTTCAGCACGAAACTCAAGATATGTATGTATGTTTAGGCAAGAAAAAGTAAAAATTGTCTAAAAAAAAAAAAAAAAAAAAAGACTTTTATAGTCAAATTCGGAAAAAAAAAAAAGTCAAATTTAAAATCTAATCAGATTACTAATAGATAACTAACCAATCATATTATGTCATCCTATATATTAATGATCAACAAAATTTTCAGCAGGGATCTGCAATTGGATGTGATTAGGCCGTTTGCACCATATTTTAAAATTTTTAAAAACTTTAATTAAAGATAACTTGGCAACTATTTGACCAAAATTAATGATCTTTTTTTTATTTAAATTTTACAGATTTGTAAAATTTATATAAAAAAGTTTATCAATTTTGGTCAAGTAGTTGCTAAAATATTATTGATCAAAGTTTTAGTATAAATATTAGTAGTTATTATTATTAAGTGATATAGGTATTTTAAAATTTTTTACAAATTTTAATTAAAGATATCTTAGCAACCACATAACTAAAGTCAATGAACTTTTTTTTATTTGAATTTTACAGATTAGTAGAATTCAAATAAAAAAAAGTTCATTGATTTTGGTCATGTAGTTGCCAAGATATCTTCAATCAAAATTTTAGTACAAATATAGATATACAGTTGAACCTCCCTATAATCACACCCCATATAGTCACACCTCTATTTAAGGGTAGGGGTATGTCAATCATTTTTCATATGATCTGTATAGTATATCAAAATTTTACATGAATTATACAAAATATGCTATTAACAAAATCTTCGAATCCACAATTATATTTTACCAAAATTTTGTGATATATAAATCAAAACTTCTATTAATTGTGGCAAAATTTTTAAAGGCAGTACTATTCTAGAAAAATATACTAGTTTATGCCATAATATTTTCTGAGGTTAACTCAAATTTTCTGAGGTAGTACAAAAATTGCAATTCTGATTGGTCAAATTTATGATTTTTATAATTCTGATTAGTTAATCATATGATATCATATGATCTACAATGTGATTACTATTAAAAAATAATCTATATACCCCTACCCTTAAGCACCCAATCTTATGTGATGGACTTAAAATATAGTAAAAAACCTTATTATAGTAACAAATAACTTATAATCACTATTACCTTAAAATCTAATTTTAAATCAAATTTATTAATAACAAAACCTCTTTATAATCACTAATTTATTAATTGAAAAGTTTTTTGACTAAGTTAATTATCTTTGAGTCTCTAATTAAAGTTGTAGAGCTTATTAAGGCGAATCTAATAGTAGTTAAATCATCAAAATTGGCCTAGTAAATACTGAGATATCTTCGAAAAATATTTTGCTGACTATAGAAAAATTCTTTATATTGTTTACAAAGAATTTATATAGTCGGCGAAAAGTTTTTGAAGATATCTCAGCAACCACTAGGCTAATTTCGATAATTTAACTACTATTAGATTTGTCTTAATAAGCTCTACAACTTTATTTAGAGACTCAAAGGTGGTTAGCTTAGTACAAAAAAAAAACTTTTAGATATAGGATGATTATGACTAACAAATTATCAATTAATTATTGATTGGCTAAAGATCATGTGATATTAATCTGATATTTGTTTATAGTCACACCTCTATACAATTACTAAAATAGGGCATGACAGACTTGGTAATTATAGGGAGGTCTGACTGTAGTTATTATTAAATGATATAATATTTTAAAATTTTTAAAAACTTTGATCAAAATATCTTTACAACTATTTGTTCAAAATCAATAAACTTTTTTTTATTTGAATTTTACATATCTGTAAAAATTGAATAAAAAGAGTTTATTGATTTTGGTTAAGTAGTTGCTAAGATATTTTTAAACAAAGTTTTGAAACCTTGTAAACAATAAAATGATAAAATTGAAAGAATCTTTATATAACCATAGTGAATAGCAAAAATTTATAGTGTGAATAGTAATTTTCTTTTTATATTATAAAAAATATAATTTGCACTATCTATATTTAGTAAATATTTAACTATGTTATATTTTTATATACTAAACAAATTTGCTTAGAAAATAAAATTAGAGTTAATTAATAAAAGTTTAATATTTTTAGGATTTTATTAATAAAAATATTAAAAGTAATTATTATTTAAAAATTTATTAGTTTATATATAGTATTTATATATAAATATAATTTATTAAATTACAAATTTAAATAATATACTATCAATCAATATTGCTAACCAAAAAATTAAATTTTAGAGTAAAGATAGATTTGGAATTAGATAAAATATAGTTTATACTAAAATTTTACAAAAAATTTTTTTATTAAAAGTTAAAAAGTAGTTTATAATCAAAATTTTGAGATATCTATATTAACTCTATATATATACCACATATACAAATAGAAATTTTTTATTAATTTTGCTATTTTATATCAAAAGTTAAAATTTTAAAATTTAATTATTATATTATATAATATTAAAGCTTTAGTATTTAAACTTTATTTTAAATTGGGTGTGGTGACTTAGTGAAGTGATCAAATTATCATCCCCAAGTAGCAGATCTAGAGTTTAATTTCTACCAGAATGATTATTGAATATTAAAACTTGTATATCTCCAATATATCAACTTAATTGAGTATATTAGGCATATAATAAATGCTATAATTTATGGTTATACCAATAATGATTAAAAGTACAAAAAATTTATACATATATTACAATCTATAAGGTATCAATTAGGAAGAACAACTTGCAAATCCTGAGTATAGCATTCATCTAGTGTGATAGTGGGACTGATGAAGAAATGCAAACTGTATAATTAGTACAAATATACAATAAGACCATATAAGGGTAATTTCCTATATATATAGAGTAGAACTATTATATAGCTACACAATAATCAAATACAAATACATATATACAAATACAAATAAACACTATATAGACAATTAAGGGTTTTCTGTAAAAATATTTATACAGCTACCACCTTACTAAAAAGATATATCTATTGTAGTTAATAAGAGAGTAAGATATAGAGGCAAGCAGTAAAGCCTCTATATGTAGAGGACCAAGATAATAATAGTTAGACCAAACATACATAGCAGGCTATAGAATTCTTCATAGCTGTGAGAACTAAGCTTTAAAATGACGAGCGACTCTTCAGAAGAATCTTTATCCAAGTCATTACCAATACCATTAAACTCCTATGACTTGGAAATATGCTACAACAAATTTCTTATCTATTACAAACTCCCTTTACTAAGAGAACTACAAACTGTCAACTCCTTTTTACAATATTTAACAAAAAATAATGCTAAGTATCTTGCAAATTATGTCTTGGTCACTATTAATAGTTACAAAACAGAAGCACATATATATTTACCTCATGAATCTGAAATGCTTCCTAATTACTATATTCAATCTATATAAGATTCTTATAATATTCCTTTAAAATCACAATCAAACATACCTATTTGTTCACCTACTTATATTAATTTCTACAGATCTATAGATATTACTAATATATACTTATCAACATCTACTAATAGAATAGATAATATATCTAACAATAAAATATGCTCAGATGATTCTGAATCTATTCCTACAGAACTACTTTTATTTTTACAAAATCCTTGTGACAAGGTCTCAAACTTACTTATTCTATCACTAGTTTCTATAAACAATACTTTTATTAACTATATTACTAATAAACAGTCCAGCTATGTTAGAGATCTACATCTTAATATTGCAATGCATAATGTTCAAAGTTTTAACACAATTACCAAAAGAGAAACCTGGCAAAATTACTGTCTCAATTATAATATTAGTATTGCTTGCATTACTGAAACAAAAATTTTAGAAAAACCTAACTTATCCTTTTATAATAATAATCTCTTTACATATTTCTGGGCCAATTCAGAAGGTGCTGCTATTATAATATGCAACTCTCTTCAACCACATATCCACAACTATCTTACCTACCCTGGTAGTATTATTGCTATTGATCTATTCTTTAAAAGCAATATTAAGCTTCATATTATCTCGGTCTATCTTTCTTCTACAGATATATCAAAAATGACTACTACTCAAACTACTGTTATTAATTAGATGCAATTTGCTCTACAACACAATCTTCATCCTATTATTCTTGAAGATTTCAATATATATAATTCCAACTTCAGTTCTTTAGCAAAATATAGCTCATAAATTTTTTACACTATTCCAATATATATGATATTGGTGTACATTTCAATAACACTTACTATACATAGTCTAACAATATCTACTCTAGCAAAATTAACTATATCTGGACTGATCATTTTAATATTTAGTTTCTTTTATCATATAAACTAGATACTAGTAATACTAGTACTTGCAGTAATCATCTTATACTTAATACATCTTGAACATTTTTTAATGCTTATAGCAAACTTTCGCATTTGCGTACAGGTATTAGCCATCATATATTTAATTATAAAGTTATAATCTCGGAAAATTGGTCTGAGTTTTCAGATCTTCTTACAACAAAACTCAATCAACAT